TGGTGCTGGAGAAGAGTATTGAGAATACCATGGACTGCTAGGAAAACAAACAGATTTGTCCTGGAAAGGGTTAAACCGGGTGGCTCCTTAGAGACAAAGATTCTGAGGCTCCGTCTTACATACTTTGGACATGTTGTGAGGAGAGAGCGGTCCTTGGAGAAGGACATCATGCTTGTTGGGAGGGTGGAGGGACAGCGCAGGAGGGCAAGGCCCCCTATGAGGTGGATTGATTCAGTGACTGGGATAATCAAGATGGGAGTGTCAGAGACATTAGGATTGGCACAGGACAGAGCAGAGTTTAGGGCTGTTGTACATAGGGTCGCTATGAGTCGCAAGCGACTTGACGGCACATAACAACAACAACATTGCATATTTGGTATTTCAATCAAAGAAACTAGTGTATCATCCATTTCTTTCGTGGTTTCATTTCTGTCTATGACAACTTGCCATTTTCTGTATCATATACATCTTCTATTATTTATTCCTAGCAAATGTCACTGATTTTCTCCTGGCAAGTTGACCCCATGTTATAACATCCCTCTGTAGTTGTTGTTAGGTGAGATCAAGTTGACTGCAATTCGCAATGATCCTCTGAACAACAGATCAGAACTTCGCCTTATCCTCCTTCTTTCTCACCTTCCAAATAAAGGAAAAAAATTAGAAAATGTTAAAAAAATAAAAATTATTTGCTAATTCAGCATTCATTAATGATTTTTAAAAATCTCTTAATGAACTAATATAAAGGAACAACAAAAAATTCTTTATAAAAGCCCAGAGTAAACATCAGTCTTAATGATGGTATACTAAAAGCTTTTTCTTTTACCTTTTCCTTTTCTTTTTTGCTATTTGATTACTAAAGTAACTGCTCTTTTGTTAAATAACAAAGATTTCTAGGATTTCAGCCTTTTGATAGTTGTATAGACGTGCCTTTTGATTGAAAGTGTGGTCATTTTTTAATGTTCTAGATATGTTGAGTGCATGATATATATGTATTAACTAACTCAACTTTATTAATCTTACACCATCCATTATTTAGTCTGATTTATCAGTTACTGAGAAAATGTGTTCAAATTCCCCACTATGATTGTGAATTTATCTTTTTTTAGTTTGGTCATATTTTGTGTTATATATATTGAGGTTATGCTATTAGGACCATACACATAGACTTACCACAGTTACTCAGACATTATATTAGTTAGAAGTATTAAAAGATAATCTCTGTAAAGATTTTCTCCCTGAAGTTTCCTTTTTGTAGTAATGATACAGCTATATTGTTGTTGTTATGTGCCTGCGAGTTGCCTGTGACTCAGAGCAACATTATATATATTAGTTCTGAAACTTACCCTCTTCTGAGCCAATCTCATTGTCTCTGACAGACCTAATCCCATTCCTCCAGTCACTGAGTCAAACCATCTCATCCTGGGTCTTCCTCTCCTGTGCTGTCCCTCCACCCTTCCAAGCATGATGTCCCTCTTCAAGGACTGGTCCCTCCTGGCCATGTGCCCAAAGTATGTGAGACAGAGCTTCAGAATCTTTGCCTCCAAGGAGCAGCATAATTTCACCCTCTACAGTCCTGGCAGTCCATGGTCTGTTCAACACTTTTCTCCAGCATCACAACACAAAGACATCAATCCTTCTTGTATCATCTTTAGTTATTGTCCAGTTCTCGGATGCATAGCAAGTAATTGTGAAGACTGTGGCCTGATTCAGGTGCACCTTAGTCTCCAGACTGATACTTTCCCCTTTAACTTGTTATTTATAAGGTATATCTTTTTTTTCATGCTTTATTTTCAATATTTTGTCGTTTGCCCTTAAGATGTACTTTTTTGAAAGCAGTTTAAATCCACCAGCCATTCTATGAAGGAAAGATCTGGAAGTTTGCTTCTGTTAAACTGTAGAGATTTTGGAACCCCTGAAGGCAGTTCTAGTCTGCCCAATTATAGAGTCACAGTGAGATGGAATTGACTCTACATATAAATAGGGCAGTCGTCATACAGCAGCCTTTACACTAAGAGTCTCTCTATTACTGCTGGCATGCTGGTTTCAACTCGTAGCTGACCCTCCACAAGGCTGTTTATCACACGGGAGGAGAGTGCCTATCTTTCTCCCATGTATCTCCCAGGAGATTAAAATTGCCAAAGAGTGGCCTTTGGGTTAGAGTACAGCTCTAAAGCTTATACCAATAGGCTGTCACAGGACTCATCTCACGTGTGTTCCTTCCTTCAAGGATCCAAGTTCTGCACTGCCTGATATAGTTCCCCGTAATAGTGATTTTCTTCATTTTGTTAGGTTTTCTAGTTGTTTACAGCAGGAAGCTGTATTCAGTCCTGTTTATATTGTCTTGGCTAGAAGCACAAATTGACCTAATTAGGTTTTATGATCAACAATATCTAACAATCTTCTTGAAACTACAGGGCAAAGAAAGAGATCGAATACCAGGAACTAATGTTTCTTTTAACTGGAGGAGTAAGTCTTAAGAGTGCTGAGAAAAATCCCGATCCATCCTGGCTGCAAGATAAAAGCTGGGAAGAAATTTGTCGTGCAAGTGAATATCCTGCCTTCAAAGGACTAAGGTAATTCTTTAAATCTGATGGTGAAGCACTGAATAGTGATAAATAATTTATACTCTAATGAATTTTAAATCATTAGATTATACCTGTATTTTTTTTATCTCCTTGTCCAGTCTTTTCCTTTTTCCCCCAATGAAAAGAATGATTATTAAGCTTTCATCCGTAGGGATCACTTTTCTGAAAATATCAATGGATGGCGGGAAATCTATGACTCTAAAGAGCCACACAATGCTAAGTTTCCACCACCACTGGATACAACACTAAATGAGCTGCAGAAAATCATAATTCTTCGGTGCTTAAGACCTGATAAGGTAAAAGATATTTGGAACCCAGATAATTATCAGTGTATGAAATAACAGGTTGTGCTCCTATCAGGTTCTTTAACCCTCACTTCGGATGTTTGCAGCTGATGATCCAGCTTTGATTTCTCTGAGCCTTTTGGACCTTTGAGTTTATCGTTTTTCCCAAATGGGAACATTTTTTCTACTATTATTTTTCAAATATTTTTGGCACCCCTATCCAGGATTTTCAGGGAGCTCTAGTGGCCTAGTTTGTAAGAAATTGCTCTGCCAACACTGTACTCTGTCCACTATTTTTACGTGTGTGTGTGTGTGTGTGTGTGTGTGTGTGTGTGTTTCAGTGCTTCAATTAGAGTTTCTATTATCATTAAATTGTCTGATTTCTTATTTAGTACACTCAGTCACTGTACCAGAAAGAAGTGGCTGACATAGAAGAATTTCGTGTAACAACATATGCACAGGAGGCCCTGGTGATGAAGGAGGAAGTTCAGGCTGCTCTGAAGGAATTGGCAAGAAACAAGGACCCAGAAATTGATGGAATGCCAATTGACATATTTCAACAAACAGATGCTGCCCTGGAAGTGCTCACCAGGTTGTGCCAAGAAATCTGGAGGACAACTACCTGGCCAGTTGACTGGAGGAGATACATATTTATTTCCATTCCAAATAAAAGAGAATCTGACAGAAAGTGAAAATTATCAAACTTATATCACATGCAAGCAAGATGCTGTTGAATATTATTGAAAAATGACTGAGACAGTACATTGACAGAGAACTACCAGAAATGCAAACTGGTTTTAGAAGAGGCTGTGGCACTAGAAATGTTACAGCCAATCTTAGGTGAATTTTGGTTGAAAGCAGAGAGTACCAGAGGAATGTCTATCTGTGTTTCATTGACTCTGCAAAAGCATTTGACTGTGTGGATCACAACAAATTTCAACTATCCTTAAGAAGAATGGGAATCCCAGAACACCTGTTTGTGCTCATAGAGAATTTATACCTGGATATGAAAGCAGTCGTAAGAAGAGAACAAGGAAACACTGAGTGGTTCAAAATTAAAAAAGGAGTGCATCAAGGATGTATCCTATCTCCATGTCTTTTCAATCTATATGCAGAACAAATCATTCAGGAAGCGGGATTTTATGAGGAGGAATGTGATATAAGAACTCGAGGAAGACCCATAAACAAATGGCACTCTGCAGACGGCAAAACCTTGCTTGCCAAAACTGAAGAGGACCTGAAGAATTTGCTACAGAAAGTCAAGAACTATAGTTTTCAATATGGATTGACTATCAACATCAAGAAAAGATTCTCACCACTAGCCAATTGGCTAGATGGAGAAGAGATTGAGATTGTTAACAATTACAGCTCACTGGGGTCAATAATCAGTAGCACCCTTGGTACCAGCAGTCAGGAAATCAAGACAAATTGCATTGGGAAACTTGCTGTCAGGGACCTCTCCAAAATGCTAAGGAGCAGTGATGTCAGTCTAGAGAATAAGGTGCACCTGATCCAGGCCATGGTCTTCAGAATTACTTGCTATGCATCAGAGAGCTGAACAATGACTAAGGATGACAGAAGAAGAATTAATGCCTTTGAGTAGTGGTGCTGGAGAAGAGAATTGAACATACACCTTGGACCACAAAGTGAACAAACAGGTCTGTTCTGGAGAAAGTAAAGCCAAAATGCTCCTTGGAGGCAAGGATTTTGAAGATACATCTGACATACTTGGGGCATGTTTCCAAGGAGGGACCAGTCTTTGATGAAGGACATCACACTTGGAAGGGTGGAGGGACAGCACAAGAGAAGACCTAGGATGAGATAGATTGACACAGTAACTGACAAAATGGGGTGTGTTGGAAACAGTGAGACTGGCTCAGGATAGGGCAGGCTTTCAGAGCTGTGGTGCACAGGGTGTTTAATCTACTATTAATCTCATTCAATTTTTTTTTTCATTTCAGCTTTTACATGTTACAGTTTTAGAAATTCCATTTGGTCATTTTTATATCTTAATTTCACTTCTTACTTTGTTCATGCTTTCCTTTCAACTTTTGAGCACAATTATAAAAGTTGTTTTTAAATATTTTCTATAGAATTGGCAGTTGTTGTTTGTTGTTGTTATGTGCCGTTGAATCGCTTGCGACTCATAGGGACCCTATGTACAGCAGCCTTAAACTCTGCTCTGTCCTGCACCAATCATGCTGTCTCTGACATTCCCATCCCGATTACCCCAGTCACTGAATCAATCCACCTCATAGAGAGCCTTCCCCTCCTGCGCTGTCCCTCCACCCTACCAAGCATGATGTCCTTCTCCAAGGACCAGTCTCTCCTCACAACATGTCCAAAGTATGTTAGACAGAGCTTCAGAATCCTTGCCTCCAAGGAGCCACCCAGTTTAACCCTTTCCAGGATGAATCTGTTTGTTTTCCTAGCAGTCCATGGTATTCTCAATACTCTTTTCCAGCACCACAGCTCAAAGGCATCAATTCTCCTTCTGTCCTCCCTAGTCATTGTCCAACTCTCTGATGCATAACAAGTGATTGCGAAGACCATGGCCTGTATCAAATGCACCTTAGTCTCCAGAGAGACACCATTGCTCTTCAGTACTTTGGAGAGGTCCCAAACAGCAGACTTTCTCATGAATTGGCAGTTAGGTATTTTAAAAACAGCTCTGGTGGCTTAGTGGTAAGTAGTTGTGCTGCCATCCCAGAGGAACACAGTTTGGATCCACCTGCTGCTCCATAAAAGAAAAAGATGGGCTTCCTGTGTTGTTTACTACCTCTGAAAACCCTCTGGAGGGTCAGCTGTGAGTCAGTTCTGACTCAATGATATGTAGCAAAAACATTATAATCATGTTCAAGACTTTAAAAGATAATATGAAGGGAAATAAGAAATATGAACAAAGATCAAGTGGAATTTCTAGAGCTGAACTGACCCAGTAACTGCAACAAATGTGCTTAGGCACAACCAATTGTGAGGATGATGCAGGGTTGGGTAGTAACAATAGTTCACTCTGAGTCACAGCTGACTTGGTGTCACCTAACAACATCAGTCATTTCATATTCTGTTCCCATTTCTATTCACTGATATTTACTGTTTCTTGGCATGTCCAGTAATATTTAACTGAATGCTAGACATTGTAAATGCGATATTGTTGATGGCTTGTGTTTTGTCTCCTTTTAAAGATTGCCACATTCCAATCTGCTAGTTCTGGAGTTAACAATTAACTTTTGTGCGTCAAATCCAGCTCTCACCTGTTTTTGTCCAGTCCTGAGTTAAGAATGACTTTTAGATTTTTAAAGATGGCTTAGGCTAAGTTCTTTAGAGAATTAGAACTAGGGGAAAAATTATTTATATGTATGTATGTATATATATTTTATATATATGCATGTATTTCATATATATATGAAATACATACTAATATAACAAATATGACATAATACGAAGGGAGAGATATTTATTTCAAGAAATGGTTCATATGGCTGTAAACATTTTAAGTCACAAATTCTCCATAAGATGTCAGGCTGGAGATATTTCTTTTGACTCACTTAGCTACAGAGTTGACAAACCCAGATAAACAGTCAGATGAGAAGCTGCTGGCTCACAGACCACAGAGGTTGGCGAATCAGAATCTTGGCATGCAGAGCAATAGGCTGCTGGTCTAAGTATCAAGAACTGGAGGTCAAATGATGATAAAACTGGATGCAAGATTTCGAGTGAGCAAGAGCCTGTGGGCTTTCCCAGAATGTACATTTATATTCCATGCAGTCCATACCCCTGGGGAAACTCCCTTTACTACTTATCCAGTGATTACATCAAATCACATCACAAATGTGATTACATTATATCACAAAATGGAAGAGCATTAGATCATTACACAACTGCCAAACTGCATCATTACTTAATTTCAAAATCGATGTGAATCATAGACCACTAAATTGATAGATCACTTTAACCATGACATATAGAGTTGTATAAAAATAATAAAAATATGCAACACAAATGTTTTAAGTATGTAGCCCATAAATCCCAAAGTATTTACTAACTTGTCCTTTATAGAAATAATATGACAACTCCTATAGTAAGTAGGTAGTTTTTTAAAAGTTCATATTATTCCTTTCAAAGATTATTTTAAAGATTAGGACAGGTCTAAAATAGTCTTTAGTCAATGAATAATTTAGCCCTATCACTAAGATGTACCTTCTTCTCTCCTGTTCCCAAGTGATCAACCCATGACAGGTATTGCCAAACTGCCCTCTGTGAAAGTTGCACCACTCTTCCACAGAAGTGTATGAGAATGTCTGCTCACCCATACATTTGTCTACACAGGATATTGTCAAACTTTTGGATAATTGCTTATATAAGAGATTTTTAAAAAATGACACTAAAAGCATAGTTATAATTTGTGTTTTTCTTTTTATGAATATTATAAAGTAAGGTACTATAACAGTTGTTGTTGTTATGTGCTGTCGAGTTGAGTATGACTCATAGTGATGCAATGCACAGTAGCTCCAAACCTTCCTGCTCTATCCTGAGTCAATCTCACTGTCTCTGACACACTGACCCTCATTACCCCAGTTATTGTGTCATTCCACCTCATTGGGGTCTTTCTCTTCTGCACTGTCCTTCGACCCTTCTTAGAATAATGTCCTTCTCCAAAGACCAGTCTCTCCTGGAAACATGCCCAAAGTATGTGAGATGGAGCTTCAAAATCCTTGCCTCCAAGGAGCAGCTTGGTTTCACCTTCTCCAGGACAGACCTATTCATTTTCTTAGCAGTCCATGTTATGTTCAGTAATCTCCAGCACCACAACTCTAAGACATCAATTCTTCTCCCATCATCCTTGGTCACTGTCCAGCTCTCTGATGCGTAGCAAGTAATTGCGAAGACCATGATCTGGATCAAGTTCACCTTAGTCTCTAGACTGACATCCTTGCTCTTCGGCATTCTGGAGAGGTCCCTGAGAGCAGATTTCTCTAATGCAATTAGTCTTTTGATTTCCTGACTCCTGGTGCCAAGAGTGTTGCTTTGGGAACTGAGCAAACGGAAATTGTTAACAATCTCAATCTCTTCTCCATCCATGATGATGCTGCCATCTAGCGATCTAAAATCAACTCACTGCCTTTGAGTCAGCACTGACTCCTAACTTAGCCTCCCTTGGGCTTTGAGGCTGTATATCACAGAGGAGGAGATTGTCCTTTTTTCTCCTGATGATCAGTTATTCTCTACAGCCCTGAAGGCTGCTGGCTGGGCAGCTCTGCCCTCAAGGTCTTGCAGGGATTCAGGATCCTTCTCTCATTCTCAAGGAGTCCCTTAGAGTGTGGCCTCCCAGCAAGGCTGAAGCTGCCTCACAATCACCACCCCTATTGAGGAGTGGAGAATGTTGACGGAAAACAACACTCCCTTATGAAAATGTTATCGTTGTTACATAATAAAGGTTCCATTTACAGTTCTATGCTTCTAGTTAAAACTAAGACACACAGCCACATCTAGTGAAGAAAGATTGAATGATCTCTAGATTCTTTTACCAAAAAATGACAAAAGAGGGGATCTTTTGCCATTTCTGCTACTTGAAATCAAAGTCTGGGTGTCTCATATGTTTAAGATTCTTTTGTATTTCTTTTTCTGTAAATCATTTATCCCTTTAGCCCATTTTTCTTTCTGATTGTTGAATTTGTTTTTATTCATTCATAGAAGCTTTTCCTATATAAAGGAAAGGAATGAGTTGTCCATGATACACTTCTCTTAATCATTAGACTAATCTTATCCATTTGTGGCTTTCAATAACAAAGTTGTTAACATGAAGTAAAAAGTATTCTAAAGGTCTGTATTTTATGTCTTCAACAGATTACTCCAGCTATAACAAATTATGTAACTGACAAACTAGGGAAAAAGTTTGTTGAGCCTCCACCATTTGATTTGGCAAAGACTTACTTGGATTCAAATTGTACTATTCCCTTGATCTTTGTGCTGTCTCCAGGAGCAGATCCCATGGCTAGTAAGTGGATAGATACTGTAAGCTTTTAGAAATTAATAAGACACCTTGCTCAATGCACATATTTTACATGATTGTAAATCAGTTCATATCATTTTTACAGAGAAAGAATTTTTTTCACCATTTAGCATGTAGGTACTGAAATGATAACACATAGTATGTAATTTTAGAGTTAGTAGTAAGATGGTGTTTTTGTGTGTATGTGCCCATTGTAGGCCTGCTGAAATTTGCAAATGATAAAGCTATGTCTGGAAATAAGTTTCAAGCTATTTCGCTGGGACAGGGGCAAGGACCAGTTGCAACCAAAATGATTAAAGCAGCGTTAGAAGATGGAACATGGGTTTGCCTGCAAAATTGTCACCTTGCTGTCTCCTGGATGCCCATGTTGGAAAAGATATGTGAAGATTTTAACCTTGAAGCCTGTAACTCTTCCTTTAGACTTTGGTTGACAAGTTACCCATCTCCCAAAGTATGTTTCTTTCTCATAGAGTTTAGTACTTTATCTGGTTTTCTGTTCCCTTGTATATTGTTAGCTTTAATAACTAGCCCTGTGAGATTTTAAAAGGATAGCTATTTCTAGAATCTTCTTCCCTGATATCTGTTTTGTAACTTACTCTTAAATAGAGAGAGCCCCAAGAGCTTGAGACCTTGTGTAATGTTCTCTTTTTATTTTCTCCCCTTAGTTCCCAGTGACAATTCTACAGAATGGAGTGAAAATGACAAATGAGCCTCCCACGGGTCTTCGGCTCAATCTCCTTCAATCGTATCTCAGTGATCCAATTTCTGATCCGGAGTTTTTCAAGGGATGCCCTGAAAAGGAACTGGTAATTGGGAACCTGTAAAATATATTTCTACATTGAGAAATTGTGGAAATGTACACTTTGAAAATATTATTTTAATCTTTAGATATTTCCTAAAATGATAGAAGTTGTAATTAACACCCCAGAAATTTAAAAAAATTCACATTATTCATTCATTCTTTCAACAAGGATATATGTTGGGCAATCTTCTAATTACCAGATTTCAAGCAGCTAGAATAAAACAAAAAGCCCAGCATCATAAAGCTTAACTTTTTAAAAACATTTTTTTATTT